TGATATAACATACATACTTTACATCTCCTTCAACGAATCCAACCAGCACCTCTAGCTTTCTTTATTCTACTTCATAAAACCTAAAATCAGTTGGTGCCCTTGCTCCAGCTTCGCATGCCCCATCACTCACGGACACACATGGCTACAGCCAAACCTGAGCCGTAGCTGACCTCGCCTCACCCGAGCCGCAGCTGACCTCGCCTCATTCGAGCCGCAGCTGACTTCAAACCAAATTTGACCTACATCGGGAGGTGTAAATCGTTTTGCTTATGTGTTTCATGTGAGCCACATAATTTTCCTCTCTATTTATTTTTAAGTGCGCCTCAGTTAGTTTAGCCCAAAGAAAGGGAAAAACTTTCTACGGATTTACTCGGTACTCACCACTTGCTTGCTACTCTGGATGAAACTGTCAGTGTTCACTTTTCCTTGCATGTTTAGTGAATCTCTTACGATCAGGGTAACTGTGTGCAGCTGTCTTTCAAGACAGCCAACAGCTGGGGTAACCACCTCTACCTCCATTCTCAAACTGAGGGTTTTTGTATCCAATATAAGGCTCACAACAACCTTTAGGTCGTCTGTGTAAACTTCTGTTTCTTCCCCCTCCCTTTCCCCCTCCCACCCCCACATCCAGTAGTGCCACCTGAAGGCCTGATCACCTATGAAACTAACAAATTTCCTCCTGGATTATAAACCAACAAGAGGGAAATCTTAGATGCCTCATCCTGTCTCCAAGAGTCCCATGTGTTTATAATTGTTGTCGTGTTAGCTGTTCAACATTTGATTGTCTAGCATACACATATATAGCCTATGATGTTAAATTAATGGTTTCAGGTGAATTACGTCCCTCTTCAACAGCTGTAGGTTCAAGCTGTATAACAGACCTGGCTTATAATGACAACTTTTTAAGGCTGTTGGTCGTGCATCAGTAGACTTGTTTCTGTCATTCAGAGGTCGCAAGTTCCATTCCCAACATGGCGACTATAGCTTTTGATATTTATGTTCTCCAGCGTGGTTCTTCTGTCATTCTACATCCTCGTATCAATGCCAATCAGTCTATGTTTTTTTGCTTATTATGTACACAATTTCCAAAGGAGATGTAGCAGGGGCATCCGTACACTTAGTGGTATAGATATAGTCTGCAATCCTGTCTGGGTAAGAATCATCATCATCAAGTGCCTCACCGACTAGCGCAAACGATCAGGCCTCTCCACGACCTACTTTGCTCAACAGGATGTTGAGAAAAGAATACGCAATCATAACCACACTCATGTCAGACAGATGCATACACACATTCATACACACGCATGTACACATAAACATACACACATAAACACGCACACACACGTACACACACACCCATTTTAATTCTGTGCCACGTGGTATGATTGTCCAACAGTGGCAAGAACGTTGCTTGTTTTCCCGCCCGCCATAACCATCGAACCCTAGAACTCGATTCGTATAACATTGTTGAACGCATTCAACTAGCCTCTTCCACATACAGCCATAACGATAATTACAAACAGGGCTTTTCTTCCTGGCAGTACGCATGGACCACAGTGCCAGCAGCATGTCTATGCATCCTTTAGTTTCCAGTGCTTTAGTAATAGACATATTATTGCGAATATATGTGTGCTTTCAACACTTTGTGAGGAGCCGACGTGGTCTAGCGGCTAGACGCTCGCCCGTGGATCGGAAGGTCGTGAGTTCGGATCCTGACAGGGGCCGGACTTTTTTCAAACATGATCTTGGCTCCCAGGTCGACCCAGCTTTGAGTGTGTATGAGATGTAGTCCTGGGAAGTAAAGGCAGCCAGCTTGATTCTGACCACATCACCCACCACGTGCCCTTCGGTATGTACAACAAATAGGTCTAGCCCTACATGCCCAATACCTGAAGCCTGGAAAAAGATCCTTCTTCAGTTTTTAACACTTTGTTGTGAGTACCTATACCTTTGACTGTGGGGGGGGGGGGGGGGAAAAGGGGGGGGGGCTGTGACTACACAACTGTATCAACACAAACGAGGGCTCGAAGACAAAACAAACATCGAAAAAATGAGACAGTCATCTTTTCAGTCATCTTATGAGAAAAGGGAAACTGGAAGATATAGTGACAACTGGAAAGATCTGTGGGAAAAGAGACAGAGGAAAAATAGCATGAGAAGATTCTTGACAGTCTTTTGTCATGGCGTTGAGGGGTGTCAGCACACGAACTGATACAAGCAGTCGCAGATCGCAGATTATGGAGAGGCATGATCGCCCACGCCAGTCGACAAGGCACGTGATGATGACGATAAAGAACAACGGACACACAAGAGAACAGAACTTACCCAGAAGGAGTAGTTTGATCCTCCTCATATCCTCCTTGTGTTCTTTGTTGAGCACCTTGGTCAGCTCCTTGTCCCGCTGTCGCGCTTGCTTAGCTTCCTCTGGGCTATCGTACAAACTGGCCGCCTCCCGTTCTGGTACACACCCAGAGAAGCAGGCCATTACGGCGTCCTGCATGGAGGGTTGGTCACTGAAGATAAAGCTGAATCGATGGCTGATAAATTATTCCGTCAGCTAAACCGCTGATGATTCAGAAGAAAGCACAGACACACATATAAGTGGTTTTCTTTTCCTGACTCGCCGTCTGTGGCTTATGAGCTGCGAATGTGCTTCGTAATTCTGTGGTGTGGGGTTCGATCCCAGCTGTGGGCGATTTGACAGCAGGTCGCCTTGCGGTGTTTTCGACAGTGGGTTAGAGAGTCAACCCTTGAAAAAGCAATGGCAACTACTGAACGTAAATCAGCCTAGTCAAATACCATAGTGCGACGAATTGTAAAAGAACCACAACTTAAAAAAAAATATCTCTTATGTGGATGTCCCTTTGTTTTTCATATGGAGAAAAACAAAGTTTAGGTCGTAACATCCATTAGAAGACGTTTATTTCTTAATTTGTGTCTAGGCTTCTATCAGATGCATGCTAGTTTCGCAGTTAGAAAGAATATTCCACGCGCTGGAACTGTCTGTCTGTGAGGACAAATGCTGCCAAAGTTTAGCTACACGTCCTCGGAGCAGGAATCAAAATCCTGCATAATTTCGTTGTCCATATTAATAAATACGTATCCAGAAACCCAGTAGAGTGCATATTAAACTTGTTCCCTCGAAGCACAAAGCAGAATCTAAATAACAATTTCACTTATCTGATATTTTCTAACAACTGACAACAGCACTGTGTACTTATCCATGCTAGCCAACTTCTTTAAAACACCCAACAGTTAATATGTATCGCAAAGCAACGAAATAAAAAAACACAGTCTCCTAACAGGATACGACCTAGTATAAAAGATCATTCTCCTCTGTTGTTATAAGGATTACTGAAACCGCCTTGAGCCAGTACAACTTTTAAGGTTTCCTAATCCGGTGTTATATATATATATATACGGCCTTGAAGCGACAGTAATGACTGGTGGAGTTGGCGAGGTACTTGCTGTTGGTTCTTTCATGTTGGGTAATCTCTCAAGCTGGCATGTATACAGCTGTCATTAAATCGTTATTACAACCGACTCTTTTGGTCGCACTGTCTGTATCTTTTAAATATGGTGTGGTTACTGATATCCTTCGTCGATCAAGTATTTTTGTGTTCGATTTCTGCCATCCGGGATTGCAGTCTAAAAACTGATAACCAGTGACCCAAAAAGGAACTTTCCTGATGTGAATGTAACGATTAAATCAAAGCCACCCCATTCAACTGTAAATAGGTTATTTGTGGCCACCCTAAAGTTACAGTATAATCCTCTGTGCTTTGAGTTCGTTCCCTTCAACTAAACAGTTTCACACAGTTTATCCTGTAAGCTTAGATCAATATATCGCAGGTAACATGATTGGCACCCTTCCGTCTTTCCAGACAACAGTGTTATATTGCGCTATGAGGAGGCGTGGGATTCACAGCCCATGGCGACGGCGAGTGTGACTAGCAGGTAACATAGCTGAGACAATGAGGACAACAAAATCACAGTTGCTCTATATTCATAGGATAACATATATGTGTGTACTGTATAAAGTAAACGTTGCCAGATTTCTTTAGTATTCTCGGGCTAAACAAACGAGGCGCGTCACCCATGGCTCAGTAGTTGATATTCTAAAATATAACTAGCCCGTTAGAGATTGTCCGTTTCCTTGGACATAAAGGGTTAAGTTAGTTTGTATGTTACAGTCTAGTTACACTTCGAGAAGCAATTTCACACTAAGATGTGGCGCTACAATTGGTGGCCAGCTGGGAGTCATTAGCCACGTTGATTTGTATCAGTAATCGCATGAACACATACAACCTGACCAGACGTACAACCAGTCAGCTTCTTACTATCACAATTACCAACTAGTGTATCTGTAATGGTTGAACAATAAAAACAGTTAAATATTCTAGGTCAAAATTTATAACTTTTCCTGATAAGTTTTCGACAATTATTATTATTATTAACTTTGTTAAAAAATTGCAGGTCAACATAGATCATTTCTTATGATAAAATCTCCTTCCACTATTGAAATTTTCGAAAACTGAGTAAAAATTTCAGATCAACAGGTATAACTTCGCATGACAGGGTCTCATTCAATTGTTAATGTTATCCCAAAATGTCTGCAATTTCGGGTCAGATAGGTGGGTCTTTAGGCATGTTGTCACATGCATCAACGGGCGACAACTCTTCGTTAGCTACAGAAGACACAAATGAAAGGCTTGAAGGAATGTCCAAAGTGCAGGGTTATCAATTCCTAATTAATTTCTCCATTCATGCACACATAGTTACCGCTGTTCCTGGTTTTCTTGGGTTACACGACATAATATTGAAGATGGTTCTATCCACAATTAACGGTCGCTACCTGAGGTCAATGGCCTTGTACTGACAGCACGTTCCAAAACATCAAAGACTTTACATGTGTTTACGAGGAAACTGGTTTTCCCTTAATCCTTTGCATGCGTACACGTTTGGAAATGTTACCTATGAGAGGCTGCAAGTTGAAGACGCAACCACACGTTTCAGAACGTGTTAAACCCTAATCCTTCCACGAAAGCTGAGATATGTGACCATGTTAAACGGCATGGTGGCCTGGAAACAACGGTGATGGAGTGTACTGTTTTCGGAAGACGAGGCAGACGCAGACCTCCGCGCAGATGAATGTAAGCCTTTAAAGATTTGTCGGCTTTGAAAGCACACAGGGCTGGAGAATGGGTTAGAGACAGAAAGACTTGCAATAGTACTGTGCTGAGCGCAACTTTTGTCAACAACCTGTTGACTGATGATCCAATCCTGCCTCAGAGGAGACGGTGGTGTTACCGCAACACAGACAGAGGAATGCGAAGCTACATCCGACCCCTTCACTATCAGAAAGTTGCTGGAACGACCAGCACAAGACTCTTACTAAATTTGCTGGCGGGGACTGAGCATTTGCGGCTTTCATCGAAGTGCTAACGTGTCGATGATCCAAATTAAAGTGTATAAATATTTAGTGGGGATAAATACAGTATAGGGTGTTTTAAAAGTCTACAAGTATACCTCAGCTGTTGAAGCTGACGTCATTAGCTATGTTGTTAGTTGACGAATCCACTAATTATGTTTCCATTGTTGGTGAATTCATGAATGGTGTTATCATCTGTTGTTGAATAAGGTAATGGTGTTATCAGTCATTGATGGATCAGTTATTGATTTTATCAGGTGTTACAAAATTAATTAACGGTGTTATCAGTTGCTGGTCAATAAATTACTGGCGTTGTCAGCTGTTGGTGAATCAATGGTGATATCAGCCTTTGGTGAAACATTGGTGTTATGTGCTGCTGGTGAATCAATTATTCGTGTTTTAAATTGTCAAGTCAATCAATTATTGACGCTATCAGCTGTAGATTAAATTATTAGTGCTAGTAAATTAATGGCGCTATCGGTGGTGGTAAATCAGTGGTGTTATGAGCTGCTGGTGAATCATTTATTGGTATTATCAATTGTTGGTGAATCAGTTATTGGTGATCAACTGTTATTGATGACTCCACAAATAACTGTGGCGGCTGTGTGATTTGATCATATAAGTGGTAAATCAGTTGCGAACGTTGACTCATCTCATTCAACTGAGACTGTGTTCCGCTGTGAAAACAGGCAGCTTGTCTATTGTTTCGCTTGCCTCTGAAAAATAAACAAAATAAATTAAATGAAGACTCTGTGGAAGCTGAAATATTGTAGTCATATAAATCATTGGAAATAATAATAGCAGAAGTCATGGTATCAGAAAGGAGGGGCAGGGGCCGACCAAGATGGGCACAGGGTAAAAGTGACTCCTTGAGTATGAAAGTACATGAGGCGGGAGAGCTGGTGAGAGACCAAATTTTTTTCAGGCAGACCGTGATGAGAGCGAAAGGCATGATGTTGATAATGAAGCCTCAGTTATCGAACTTAATTCGTTCTTCACAGTTGTCGGAGACAGGGCTGTCGAAATTGGTTCTTTCGTACACATTTGGTACTGTTTGACTGTTGCCCAGCAAAAAATACGTTTGGTACTACGCCCGATATTTTGGTATGTTTTATAAACTTAGCACCAATATTTTTAAATTCCGATCACAAAATGTTCCAACCTTATTAAAGATGAAAGACTCCGGTTCTGGAAAAAGACTACATTTCAGAAGTGGACGAACAACCATAACTTTACGCAGGATTTTACAGCTGGTGAACGCGAAGAAGACGAAGGATTAATTCGTTTCGCAACTCTTGGTGCTTGTTTTTATATTTTAAACTTATAACAATATCTCATAGATACAATTGCACAGAAAACAAACAATACAAATGCATAGTTACTGCATATCAGATAAGTATTGTGAATTCATATTCGAACAATTTGAGTCCCTCTTTTACTGTATAAAATAGAGCTGATGCTATAAATAAAAGGAGACAGTGAATATTTTCCCTACTCATTTTAAAGGCGTTCTGTCACAGAATGAAGGGTCTGCGTGGTCTCGAGGCAGGGTTCAATCCCCAGTAAGGGCTGGGATTTTTTCCCGTGGACTTGGACTTCCAGTAATTCCCTCTGGTCTCGGGGTAGTGAGATCAGACGCTCGTGTGCAATGTTGCGCACGTAAAAAATCCTTTCGCAGTTGGAAATCATAAAGAGTAGCCTGACGTCGCTGAATGGGCAAAATTTGGAGTTAAAAATCTACCCAAGTATTTCAGGATCCTCGCCGGTGCTACAGAGTTGATGCACTCTGCTGAGCATCGTCCGACTCAGACTTGAGTAAGAAGAAGCACTTGTGGGTTTCTACCCGTGTGCCATGATGTTGATCCGTTGTTCCAATCAAATCAAACCAATCTGTCATAGAATAATAGAAAGACCAACGAAACAGTTCTCATCAAAACAGATATGTTGAATGTTGAAATAAGAATCGACATCACAGTACTCATGACACTCATATAAGCGCTTCGTCCCCATCTTCAGCAGCAAGCGAAGAGTTCCAATTCTGATGGTAATAGTAACTGTTTGATTATTTA